TTCTTTTTTATTTGGTTCTGCATAGAAAAAACTAAGTGACAACAAAAAATTTTTTTGCAACTTACGATCAACAACAACAATAAAACATGTTTTTATGCAATATGTACAAAAACTTTCGTTGTGTAAATACTTTTGACTATGGCTGTATAATAAATTTGCTGATAAAATACAATAAATTCGTCTTGCTTAGTATTTGTATTCGTCGTTTATTATTGTTTGATTTTTTTTGAATGTGGGAAGAAAAGCTTTTGGCATTGTTCCGATGTTTTGTCACTTTCATATCAATGAATTCCTGTTAACCTCGAATGAAGTGCATAAAATGAGGCTGCAACATAATAAAGATGAAGATGGAAACGATCATAATAAACATATGCAATGTCACGAAAGCAGTTACAGTGAAGTCAAGACTAAAATGAAACCGATCATACCGAAGATTATACAAGTGATGAAAATATCCGTTTCAATATCCGGTTCAAATTAGTTACATGAATGCTGAGTTTTTTGTACCGTTTCTTATTATGTTGTTATGATCAGAGTATATTGGAACAATATTTTACAAATGTGTGCAGCTCCTTGCTTACGCCGACGACATTGACATCATTGAGCGTAGCAAGCGTGATGTTACAGCTGTCTTTGCTGCTATCGAAAAGGAATCTGCAAGAATGGACTTAGCGGTGAATGAGGACAAAACGAAGTATATATCGGCTACTGGTAGAAATGTGCGTCGCTCCGAGCTAGTGACTGGCGACTATACTTTGAAATCTGTTAAGGATTTCATCTACCTTAGCACCATCGTAACGATCACCAAAGATATCAGCCTGCAGATCAGATGAAGAATCACCATTGCTAATAGGTGCTGTTATGGGCTCAGTAGTCAGTTGGGATGTAGAGCTCTCTCTCGACAAACGAAACTTATAGCACGCTCATTCTCCCTGTGCTTTTGTATGGCGCAAAAGCATGGAAGTTATCACTTGGTTCTCTACGAGTTGGCGACGACTACTGCATACGAATGAATCACGAGCTGTATGAGCTTTAGCACGACATTGTTATAATTCAACGAATTAACATCTAGCGGCTTTGCTGACTTGGCCATGTCGTGAGAATAGATGAAGATGCCTCAGCGAAAAGGTGTCTAAAGCAGTAGTTGGTGGAAAAAGACGTAGAGGTAGACCGTGTCTCCCGTGGAGTGTTCAACTTGAGGGAGTACTTACTGTACTTGATGTACGACACTGGAGGAGACGCGCACGCAGAAGAGGCACCTGGGGAGACATACTGCGTTAGGCCGAAACTCGGTAACGGTTTGTTATGGCCAAATTAGTAAGTATGATCAGAGTATATGCTTTAAAGTGACAGTAAAAGTCGTTTTATTACTTTAAGTCATTTTCATTTTCGTTCACTTAGCATTATTTCAGTTGTCAATTTACATTGAGTTGGAAACAATACACTTATTTCTAAGTTGTATATCTTAACTCTTTTTCGTCTCTTTGATTAATAACACGTTCTTTAAGTTGTCGTCAAAGGTCATACCAAGACAGTTTGCAGTATGTACATATGATATTTTGTCCACAGCACATTTACCTATAACTTCATTTACAGGCGATGATGTATATCAAAAGTATACAGCACAGTACCGTAGAGAATGAATGGTTTAAGAAATTAAATTTTGAAGAATCATTTTATTAATCCACATAGAAAATCATTCCAATTGTCGATAAAGTGAATTATTGTTAACAGCAATTTTCTAAATATAGCATCATCACAACAGATATCATCTGTTTCTTAACCTGTTTTCATCAAATATTTACTTACTTTTGGTTAATATAAATTGCAATTCATTTGTTGTGTTCTTATTCATGTTCTTATGATGTTCTAAAAATGTTTTTATTCAATGCCAGTAATTTATTATTCACATTACTTATTTATTTTAAATCTTTAGTGATGTTAATATGCATTTCTGCTCATTTTCGGTGCTGTTTTTGAGTAATTGTTCATGTGAGAAATAGTTCAAGTGAGTTATAGTTTAAATGAGATAAAGTCAGCACTATTTAATTTGATTTTTTTTCCATATATGTATATACTTAATAACATAGACTTGAAAAGGTTTATTTTGTAATTTATGTGATATATATACAGTGTGACATTTTTATATAAAAGTTAATTCGTTTGCTTTCACAAGCATGCGTTGTTAAATTCTTAAAATAAAGAAGTTTCTAATTATCATATTGCACATTTATCAGGACATTATTACTATTCAAAAATATTGAAGGAGTTTAATTTTGATTGCAATGATTTCTTAAAATATATATGTAACTTCCTGTTTTAAGCATAGTCTGTCATAATATCAACAAATTATTATTTAATTATTTTATTATATAATATAATAATAATTATAATATAATTATTATTATATTATTTTTAGTTAATAAATCTGACTAAATTAAAATAGATAAAAAAATTTTGAGAAATTAGAACGTGGCCATGGTGAATCAAGGTTTGTAAGGATCACTATAATTTATTCTACCAAAGAAATACTTGTTTTAATTGACATCAAGTTATATCTATATAACTATTCTATATTCTTATAAATATAAGCGTCTTACATTTCTGAGATTTCATGTACTGCCGTTTTCTGTCTTGAAAACTATGTAAGATGAATTATAAAAAGCATATGAAATTTTTAGCTCTTATTTCGCGATTCATTTCCATTTATTTATATATTCACATTTTAATTCGTTTTAATTTAAATGATCATAATTATCATTTTATTTAGAGTTGTTATATGGTCCGCAATTAGGACTGATTTTGCAAGACTTTAAATTCACGAACCTTTATGTTTATGAAACCACAATAGTAGAAATAAAATAATTTTAATAAACTTTAATTTTAAACATTTATTTATGCAGAAATTAATATTAATGTTTAAATTATGTTAATGTGGGCATACGCTTCTATAGGGTGCAAAGGAGGTAATATTCTAAAGGTTGTTTTTCTCACAACAGACATGCAGCCAGTGCAGATATTTGAAACATTGAAGGTTTTTCAGAAATTTTTTATTTTCGCTTCATGTTGGCAAATCAATAAGGAAAACTATAATAAAAATAGTTTGCATTGTCGATGTGGTTTGCCAGCTATATTTATTATAAACATTTTACTAATAATGCGATTTATTGACTTAAGTATGATATTCATTAAATTGATTAAATTGTGATTGTTTTCCTTAAAACAATATTTGAAGAAATTTCTTAACTTTTTGCTTTAAGGGTATTCAAAGGGACACCATTAAATTGAGATGGATGTCAACTACAATGATAATTTAAACCATTTGCCTAAAATGACCCACAACTAAAACGTCGAAGTTTGGATGTATCAGGACTGAGTAAAAAAAAACTTAGTGACCGAATTACACCATATGCCATCTCCAACTGTGAATCGCTGTTTAGATGGAAAAAAATCAAATCATTTTCGAAACTCATATTAGTAGGTGGTTGAAAAAGATCAAGCTCCACAAATGATAGAAAACCAAAATTAATAATAAAGAACGTAATGCTATGTGTTTGTAGATTAAAGCTGTTAGTTCACACATATTGGAAGACATTCAATAGATTCACATTTTCTACATGACATTGGACCGTCAAAGTTTTTTTTTATATCTGTATCACTCTGTAAATTTGGTAAAATTCATATCAAAAAAGAACTGTGTAAAGCACTAGAGACAGTTTTTTAAAGATAAAAAATCGCAATTCGTCAATAAGAAACTAATGCTTCTACCCGAAAACTTAACGATGGTCCAAAGTGTTTGGAAATATAAAGTCTTCAAAATAAAAAAATATTTCAAAGTGTGATTTAAAATAAAATATGAAAAATAATTTTTGCTTAGCCTAATATTTTTAGAGATATTTGTAACATTTGTAACATGGCATTTGTATTTACTGATTTATTTCACTAAATATGGCATTATGATGATATAAATATGGAACAGTAAATTTTATTTTAAATTTATAAGTTTTTTTTTATTTATTGAAATAATCATTGCAGTTTCATTCAAGATATATATTTACTTCATTAACTAATTCTACGAGCCCTGTTTTCATTATATAAAATTATTTGGCAATAAATGAGGGACTAGGTGTATAAAAACTCCTAAAAAGTTTAGTGTTTAAGGTATTTAAGGTTTCGCTGCCTGTTTGTTTGTTCACAAACATTTTATATATATTAATTTTTTATTTTACAACTTCAAACCTATTTATTTTTGCCTAATTCTTATCAAAAATAGTAAATTGTAATTCTTGGTATTGGTGAGAAGGTGTACGATATAATTTTAAATGCTAATGGTCATCAATAGAACATCACATAAAGTACTCGTAAATACATATTAATCTTAACCAAATAAGGCCTAACACCTTGTGCCCTTTTTTTCTAAATTTTTATATATTGTACAATCTGAAATGATGATTTAAATTTTTAATTGATTTCCATTCAACTTAGTTTACTTTTAAACAATAAATTTGAGCAATCTACGTATTCAAGGATTTGTCAACGAGACGCAAATTCGTTTAAAAATTTCTGCAAATTTAATATAAAAATTTCAACAAATTTTACGAACAAAAATTATGGCAAAGAACCAAAATATGCGACGAAATTGTTTTGCACAATTTATTGGAAAAACTGTATCGTAAAGTTTATCCGCATATAATATATAATCTTTATATCGTCATTATAAAAACATAAACCTACATTTGTTTTTAATGCTGTTTATTTATTAATTTATTTTTGCTTTATTTTTCTTTCATTTGTTTTCTTTTTACATTTTTAACAAATGAAAATTATGAGTTCGTTTAAAATTACGCCTTTTTGTGTTATATTATTAAAATTATAATATACTATAATATAGAATATTTTATGGTGGAAACATGTACAGTACAGTATAGTGTACAAAATTATAGTACTAAAATGTTTATTTTTTGACGAAAGTATATGCAAACTTATTAACTATAACTTACCTCTGTAATTTTCATGGTACGCTTTACAGTTTTACGAGTTACTTCAGTGGTCTCTTCCACGACATCACCATCCTCGTCGACAGTCTCAGTAACCATTTTTTCAGTTTCGCCTACAACCTCCTCTTTAAGCAACTCCTCGGTTTTCTCTGGATAAGTAATATTATTGGATACGTCCTGCTCTTCAGGAATGGAGCCTTCAACAATATCAGTGACTTCAGACATTTTGTAATTTTAGTTTATATATTAAAATATCTATTCGAAATATCAAAATGTACGAAAGAATTTTGTTGCTTATTATGCACTATACACTTCTTTTCGTGATTGAGCTGTGTATTTCAATTTTTAAACGATGTTGCATATGTTTTGAGTACTACACAAAACAAGTTCTATATTCCTAAAATAAACTCTTCGTTATATAAATAAAAATTTGTTATTTTCGACTTAACATTTATTTATTTTGCTTTAAAAAGAATATTTTTCTTTTATTTAATCGTTATTAGTTATATATTTAACGGCACGAAAAATTAAAAACTTTTATGATTATTAATTATTTCGATATAACACAATTTTTCACTTCTTGGTTTAATCCAAAATACCCATGCACAACTCGTCATATATATATTCAGGTTTTTCACAGTTGAATTAATTAGATACAAAATTTATCATAATCAAGTGGATGTATCGACTTTTCCGCAGATTATCGTTGAAAATATCAAATTAAAATGAGTTGTCCATTTCAATATTTCGGTTTTAAAAGAATGAAAACATTCAATATTTTATGGTTACTACTTGAGTAGATAATGAAGTGCGCGAAATTATTCCGGGCACAACGAGAACAATGAAATTATATTAATTAAAATTTTATTGTTCGCTTAATATCTGTTTATATAATATATCACACACACATATATCATGTATATATATGTATATAATATACGTATATATATAATACATGTATATATATATTATATATATATACATATATATATATTTAAAATACAATGAAATTAATACGAATAATTTATTATAAATCGATGGAATATGTAACACATGAAAAACAAATAAAATTGAAAATAAGATCAACAATAAACGAACTAATTGCACAAATTATTTAAATCAGTGCACAGACAGCAAACTTATGACTGTTCAAAAGATTTAACACTAAATTTTGTATTTCCTACTACAAAATGCCCCATCGGATGGGTTTTTCTTATAAACACATTCTCTTTAATATGAAAACATTATGTGGAGACAAAAGAGATGAATATAACTTTTAGTGTTTCCGGAGATTCTCCATCGAGCGCATACATTAGAAGAGAAAGGAAGACAACAAATATTGCTTCATTTCATAAACTTTATACATTTTCCATTTTTCATTATTTAGTGCTTTAAAAAATGATTTTTGTTTTTTCGTATATCGTGTCGACATACATTCATACACGTAAGGACAATATTTCCAAGAGGTTCCCGTGTCTTAGAGACATGCAACACATTTAAATGAAGTTGTGCATTTCATTTTCTGATATATTTAATCTACATTTCTGCAGCTGATAAAGCAAATACAGAAGAAGATTATGTTTTGAAAAGTTTCGAGATCAGTCTTTATTTGCATTATGAGTATATTTCTATTGAAGACAATATGGAGGAAATAACACAAAATTCAATCTGACCGGGCGGTATATTGAGGCCACACTAAGAATATACTTGGTGTTCCAAGTTGACTTGATTGTTCAGCATGTAATCCCAACATTTCTTCTTACCATGTGAGAGGATGCATAATTTTCAGAGTAGAACTTATTTGAATTAAAACTTAAGTATAGTTTAATGCTCAAAACTTTCCCATGAGGCGTAAAGGGTCACAATTAACATACGTATATATTTATTTAGGCAAATTACGGGTTTAAGTGTTTTATTTTCTTTTCAAATATATGATAAATATACATGTAATATACCGTTTATTAAATAAATGAGTACATATTCAGAATTAACGCAATTTTAAAAAATGTATTTAAAGAATATATTTAAATTTTCATTAGCGCTTTTTGTCTAATTACCAATTTGCACAATTGGGAACGTTTATAAAAAAAAGATATACCAGATATTCATTACCCTGTATTTGAAATATATGAAAGGCAAATGCGCCTCGCAAATCAAAACACTGAAAAACAAACGCACGAGGAAAATTCTAAAATTAATTTCTGCCAGAATATAAAACAATAAATATGTACTAAAAGAAAACATTCAGTTTTTTGAAAATTCAGCACTTTTCTTTCTTCCATTCTCTGTGTGCCGTGCACTCAGTTGATAGCGTCACAACAGCTATTGGATACGTACACTGAAATAAATTTGAAGTCTTTGTTTGAAGGCTGATAAAAGACTTTCAGTTAATGGCTTTGCGGCCAATTTAAATAATTAATTAATAATGAATAAGTAGAAAAGGCAGAAACAATGGACCGATGAACTCTCAATTTGCAGTTCAAAATACGTGAATAAAAAAACTACATTCGGATGTAATTCTACTTGCTGTCAATTTAAATCTTAATTCCCATAGCGAACACTTCATGGATTTTGCGCTTAATTTTATTATTTTAAATATGATCGAAATGAATTATAATATTATTTTTATTCAATAACTACTTAAAAAAATCAAACAGAATTTTGCTTAACACAATTATTTTTATGTGTATGTATATATTGATTCAAATTCGTTTAAGTGTTTTGTTATTAAATCCTAACCTCATCTTTATGACAAAAAATTCATGACTCTGAAATCAAATAAAAAATTCGAATTTACTTTTCATCGTACTCTAAAAAAAAGCCAATCAAGCATTGAAAACATTTTGTGAATAGACTAAAGTTAAATCAATCACCAACACTCGAACTTGCTCATTACATTTTCTTTAAAAAAAATTATGAAATAAAAACATTAATTAATATTATTGCAAACATATATATTTGTTCTTTATTTATTTTATAAATAAATTTGTATGTGTTCATTTCGGGTACTACGAGTATAATTCTCCCCATAAAATGGCGTCCACATGCCTAATAGCGGTTAATGCGAGCTCTAAAAACTATTATTCTCAATCCAATGTTTCGTTTCAACTTCTTCATTTCTTCATTTCTTCAGTTCCTATCCATTACTCACTAACCCAAGATGTAATGTCATCTGCAGTTGTTGGATTAATTTAATAACCAAGAAATTAAATAAATCTACTAAATTTAAAATAAAAGACTAAATTCTTTTATTTTTCCTATTAAGTCACCGCACATAGGGGTTTTTTACTGTATGTCGCTTGTTGTCGTTTCAGGCATCTGACGGAACAGACAATCACATGAAAGAGTTTAAGTACCTTAAAAAATAAGAAATTTCTAGCTAAAATATAGTCACTAATGAAGTAATAGGCCTTAGAACATTACTAACTTATAAAGTCAAAATAATTTTTTGAAACGAAGAGGCCAACACTAACGACTAGCTAAACAAACAAGAATATTAAAACGCAAGCAGCACCAAAAGGCTGTTTATCAAATGCAACCCAAATCTTCACCATAAAGATCTCAGGAAAAACTTGATATAACATAACACCGAAGAACAAAATGTTTAATGGGAATAGTAGTACTTACCGGAAACACTATAACCCGGTGACTTGAGATCATCGACAGAATAAATGTTTCATTTCTGAAGCCACAACGCATCAGAAATATAAAGCTATTATTATCACAAATGTTATGACTCAAAAAACTCTTAATCACCCTTAGCTTGACACAGATAAATGATAAAATGATAAAAATCATGATCATAAAAACCTTCAGATTCGAAAAGGAACTCTATTAACTTCATCCCAGAATTAAATTTTATCTATCTAAAGTCGGCTTATTTAAAGATGATATTCAGCAAAAAGAAAGAAATGCTTAAATATTCTACATGATAACATCATTATACGACCATTTATATTTTATAATTAACACCACATAACACGAGGACGTGTAAAATTTGATGGCTTGGATAAATGTAAAAACCATAGTTTTTGATTGTGTTTTAAAATTCCTAAACATTCACAAATGTTTTAATATCTCCTTCTCTGTATCAATACTCCCTGTGGGTAAAGGGTTTAAATTTTCCCGAGATAAGGCATGCCTGCCGTAAAAGGCGACTAAAATCCTGGCGCTATTCTAAAACTGTTTAGAGTGAGAATGATAGTTAGTGAGATTCACTTGCTACACCCGATCGGAGGTGCAAATCTGGTACCACGGCAGTGTCGTGATGGCTGTAGGTAATACTCAAACTTACGCGTACTCACACCGAGTGCTGTGAGCTTTCCCCTCGCTCCTTACCAGAGGGAAAGCTATGCCGAATATATAAATTTAATTGGTGCCAGTCAAATTCCTTGGAATTTCCAATGAGGCGCATTATTTTGATACGTGGTTTTTTAGAACATCATGGCCTTAAGCCTTCAATGGCAGGTAACCACGCTAAACAACACTACATTTTGTTTCAATTACCCTGTATCAGGAACTAGACGCCAAAGAGTCTAGTAACATTTCTGTATTCGTTTATATTAAGTACATGTCTACAAGTATTTTAAATTATATGTTATTTATTATACATAAACCCACAATTTGTAATGATCTTATATACTTAATAAAACGACGCGGAAGCTTCACATTTGTGCGTGTTTATCCGTCACGTTCTTCTTTTCCACTACCGTCTTTCCAGCTGTCATTCTGCCTCGCAAGTTTGCATTCACCCCAGTGTTAGTTTTTTCTGTAACATTTCGCCCTCCCGTGAATCTTCGCAAGGTTCACTACTCTGACAAGCGACTAGCTTGGTGGCTGAACGAGTTAAGAACCCATTCTTTGTCTGTACGCGGGCTGATCTAGCCTGATCCTTCTTCGAAAGAAACACTTTAACAATTCGACCTTTCAACCATTGATGTTTGTAGGCAACATGATAATGTTCCATTATCCGTTCGGAAACGGCATGACGCCTCGGTAATATAATACGGCGTTGAGCTTCATCCAGCTTTATTCAGGCGACCACTGGCACGAATAATTTCTTCGTTGTCTACATATGGCGTTAATTTATATAGCTTTCATTTTTTGGAAAGAAGTTGTTGAAGCTTAAGTAGGCTCTTCTCCTCCGAAAAACAATCTACCTGTACCAGCCTCATTACGGCGACAGCAACTGCAAATTATCACACTCTTCTATAGACTAACAATAAGTTCTAAAATCTTATCATTAATTACATAATATTACAAATTTTAATTTTAACTATACATAGTATAAAATAAAATAAGTAAACCTTATATCACGAACCTCACTTAGATCATTGGGTTTCATTGGAGTGAATGTTAGATGGTTTATTAAGAAAGCAGTTCAACTTGGCTGGACGGTCAGCTCTTTTTAGGCGGGAAGTAGAGGATAGATGTGCGAGATTTCTTACTAAGGGATTAACATGTTCTGCCAGTCTTTTATTGTATTTTTTTCTTATATTGTCAAATTCAGCTTTAACTAGGGGAATTTGTAAATCTCGGTGGATACTTTCATTCCTTATATACCATGGAGCACCAGTAATTATTCTCAGTATTTTTGACTGAGCTCTTTGTATAATTTCAATATTTGAAGCACTAGCATTGCCAAATAGCTGGATACCATAAGTCCATATTGGTTTTATAATGCTGTTATACAAGAGTACTTTATACTCTAGGCATAGGGAAGATCTGCTATTAATGAGCAAATGCAAATTAGAGGCTTGGAGCTTCATCTGAATTTTTTTGGCTTCAATATGTTTGCGCCAAGTTAGTCGTCTGTCTAAGTGAATACCTAAGTACTTTATATTCTCTGCTTGTGGTATGAGAATGTTATTTAGTAAAATTGTTGGAGAAGTACTCCGATTTAAAGTAAAAATGACGTGTCTACATTTTAGTTCATTAATTTTAATTCGCCATTTTGACAACCATTTCTCCACCCGAAATAAATGAGATTGAAGTTGATTTGAAGCTAGCACAACGTTTTTGTTTCGACATAAAATTGCCGTAGCATCAGCAAACGTTGTGGTGACAACTGAGCTACTTATTGGGATATCAGATGTATAAAGTACATACAAGATAGGGCCAAGAACACTTCCTTGTGGAACGCCAGCTTCTATTGGGAAATTATTAGAAGTATATCATTTACA